ATTTAAATACAGTTTACTTGATTATATCATGCACATTATTATGTTCCTTTCATATACAGTAAGTACAAATAGATTTTTAAACTTGTAATGTCATTAAAATTATACCCACAAGTTTTTGATACTCTACATAACAGCTTCCCTACTGATTATGGCAGTTTATAAGCTGCTGGTTTCCTATAATGATGGTCATTTACTTGGAATTAGATAATGTGCAACAAAAATATTAAAAATTATTATACTAAGATATTAAGCTATTTTCTAAAATATGTCATATTTTATTTGGGAGCTTTACTTTGCTTTTCTTGGAAGCAGCACAGGACAGCGGAGCGAGAATGATCTTAGTTTTGGGGCCAATTCAGCTGATTACTGGCCATATGACCTTAGCCAGGTCACTTAACATCTGAGCCTCAATTTCCCAATCCACAAAACACAGACAATAGTACCTGCTGTACTTAAAATGTGGGACTATTGTATTAAATTAAGTAGTATTTTTAAATTTGTCATGAAAGCTGTCAAGTACCATGTACCAGTATTATTCTGTATGTTACATATTTTAACTGGAAAAAATTAAACTTACGTGAACACTAATTATTTCTTAGGTCACTGACACTGCTAGGTAATAAGTAGAACCAGCAGTTTAGAATGAATAGTTCATGAGTAATGTTATACTGTGTGGTAGGAACCATTCCCTTACCCCTGGAATGCACTCATCTTTAATACATGCTTATTCTTCACATGAAATGTCTGGGGAGTATAAAGCTTGCAAGAGAAAACTCTGAGTAGCTACACAACATAGTGGCATTACGTTAACCATTTGTGGCCTTCCCTCAGAAATAGAAGAGTGATTCCCTACTCCTAGCTGTCATTTTTCATAAATTCTGAGAGGCAAAATAAGTACAGATAGTGGTTTTTAAACCATGCTGGGCACGGTGGCTCACCCTTGTAATCCTAGCGCTCTGGGACACCAAGGTGGGAGAATCGCTTGAGCTTAGGAGTTGGAGGTTGCAGTGAGCTATGATGACGCCACTGCACTCTACCCAGGGCAAGAGTAAAGAATCTGTCTCAAAAAAAAAAAAAAATCATTTGTAGACATTTGTGTTAATTTTAAAAGTCTCATATAAATGATTCCATTTATTCATTCAAAAGTATTTATTGTTGAAATCATAAGAAACTTCCTGGGGGGAAAAAAACAAACTACTTACTGAGCCCCTACTATCAACCAAGCAGTTAAGGTGTAAACTAAGATTAAATTATTTAATTCTGGACACATTTTAGTATAACATCTAAAAAATATGTTCCATTATAGTTTTTAAAATTACTTATAATTTTGGGGGGTTTCAGAAAACATGGAAAAATTGACCTATCTGCAGATCAGAACACCTAGAAACATTTGGAACAACTCACAACCATTATAATTACTGGCTTTCTTTTCAGATAAAAAGGAAGTAAAAGCCAGCCAGCTAGTTCTAAATCTCTCATGAGCTACTTTTCAATGTTTGTTTCATTGATTGTGTTTACTGTAAATTTGCATTTTTGCATAACTGA